ACCACACCTCAAGCACAAAAGGAGAACTCTGCTTCTTATAATGCTGACCCAAGAGGAGTTTTCCTACAGTAGCATATAGCTATTGCCAGGAATACCTTTAGGATCATCTAATCCAGAAAGTACAATGTATTCTGAAGATGAGCAAGCAAATATCTATGGCTCACTTCACAACTGAAAAAGCTGGAATCTAGTTATGATACGTTATTAAAATGCTGCTACTGCACGACACCTGGTTGTTTTTACTCGTTACACATTTAAGTATCCTTGTCCAGTATAGTTCCTTGGCCTTGTATCATGCAAGAAGTGCATTTTTTGCTTGTAGTTTGAAGCACTACTTCCCTATTTAGGGCTGTAAAGCCAATTTTATAAGTGGTGCTACTCCTGACTACGGGTGGATTCTGGGACTTGCCATGCAGAGCACTTGCATGCAGAGGATTCCAACAGAGTACTCCAGGAACACTTTTGCTAAATCCTGAGTATCTTGTATTGTCTATCAGTGAAGGGCTTTAAGCCTGCTAGATTGTCCTGACAGGTGATTGCCTGAGGCCACAAATCGGAAGGGAGGTATTTCATCCCACTAAAGAATTTTAAGTGGTACATCACGGATTAGTCTGGCTAGAGGAGCTGATCTTGTGTAGGTGAAAGGGAGTATGTCTGTCGCTGCAGCATCAGTGAGCATTGAGGTGCTAATCTGTGTGAAAAACTGCTGAAATAAGTGCCTCTAGCAGAAGTAGTGCCTTCTCACTATGCTGCTCTTAGGCACTTGAGTCTCAAAACTAAACCAACCTTTTCTTTTCCCTCCATCTTCAATTCTTTCTTTTTAAATAATAAGTTAATTAATAGTAAGGTATAAAAAATGTATTTAGAATGCAACAGTCTGAACTGATGCTGAATAAGCTCATTTTCCTAATACTGAGTGGTTTACTTTGCAAACCATAACTTACATAGCTAAAGGAAATGGAAAAACTTACTGTGTGATACCATGACATTGCACATCTTTCCACCTTCTCTGAAGACTAGAAGACTACAGATTTTCGTTTTTGTTCTCTTCCTGTATCTCACTGATCCCTGAACACTGAGGGCTTTTTAAGGAAGCTGTGTATTCGAAACAGCAAATATTGTAGTCCTTAGGGCATTCCCCTTAAAGAAGGAAGAGTGGACTCAGACTGCCTCAGGCTGAGGAGGACTTTGAGCCACTGCCTCAAGGACTCTGTTGAGATGCAACAGGCCACTCTCTCTTGCTTCTTTCCAGTAGATGCCTATCTGCAAAAGAGACTCCTTTGCCAATACTTCGACTGGATCACGGTGGTTTTCTGATCAGGAACACTGAGACACGTTTTAGATGATAGAGAAGCAGATCTCTTCTTAAGCCCTTTGCTTTAGAGGTGCCTTTTTCTCTCCATTTTCTGTACAGAGCTGGAAACTCTTCTGACTTTACATGGTATGATTCGTTAGCCTGGCTCAGGTACCTGCTTAAAGTGTTACTGCCTTGACTTAGTGTCTAAATTTAAGTGGTCTGAAATGTCTTAGTACGTATTGTGTAAGCATAATTATCTGCCTTCTGGACATGGAATATTTTTAAGTTTTACCAAAAAGCTTTGCCATCTGTGCTTATCACTTGCCAGTAGTGACTTTTGGGGGCTATACTACCTTCTTTATTGATGGAGTTCCACAAGGAAAAAAAAGAAAAATCATTTAATCCTGGGACAACCACTCTGATATATGACTTAATTGGTTTTCAGCCTTTTTTTTTCCTTTTTTTTTAAATGCCAAAACAGTGGTTTTTATTTGTCCATCACTTCAGTAATATAAAAATATTCTGATTTTAAGTAAATAGTTATTATATACACACACAGTCTGCCTACAAAACATTATTGCTATGCTTTTATTTTTCTTGTATTTCCACTTCATCTTATTTCTGATGTTAATTTGCAACAAAGTAAAAGAAACCATCTTAGGTCATGCAATAGGTAACGTAACTCAATTCTGACACGATTCTAACAGGAAGTAAAAACTCGGTGAGGTTACTGGAAAATTTGAACATATTAGTTTTGAGGAAATCATGGGGGTTTTAAATACATTATTGAATATTGTAAAATGGGTGTTGACAGTAATGATATCATCAGGTCTGGACCCTGTGCACTACAGATGAGCAGAATTATTTGCCCTAATTTTTGTAGGTCTGGTCCAATGACATAGAGTGGCATTAAGCTTTGTAATCAGGTCATTTAAATTTTGCACCACTCCTTTAAATATATATTGTGTTTAGCAACTCGTACACTCGGTGGATGCATTTTGTCAGTTGAAGTTTTAGTTTTTGTTATCAAAAAGAACAGAATATGGGGCAGGGAAGAATAGGACCGCAGTTGGTGTGTATTTTGTAATTCTGTCTGTAAAACTGGTGGATGAAGCTTTTATGATAGCTAGCAAATCATCCAGAACCCAGATGACAGTGGAAATGGATAAGAATTAGACAACTGTTGAGAAAACAAGCATACTTATCAGTAATGTTACTAGTGTATTTGCTGTTGTCAACTTTTTGCTACAGAAAGTCAAGCAGATATCTGTAGAGGAGAGGCTCTCTGTATGTGATTTCAAATTGGGTGTGTGATTGGAAACATGAAAGTTGAGGAAAGTTTGAGGAAATGTGACTTAAGTGAGAGTTTATGGCTCCTAGTAACAAAAGGAGGCAAGAATGTTAAAGTAAAAACAATGGATTTTTTGAAAGAAGGCTATAGTAAATACAGAATTGGTAGATAAGATCTTTTTAGTCAAGCCTCAAGGGTAAAAGGAATTAAGAAGTTATGCTTTGTCAGAGATAATACTACAGCACAAACAATGCTAATGCAGAGATTTAGACTTTAATTAAACTGTAAATTCTTCATTCACCTCTGAGACTTTCTCAGTTTGCTGAGGAACAGAATAAAAGACTTGTATGAGAAAGGGACAAAGCTGGATAAGGAGCAGGGAATGGGACACCCCATTAACTGCATGTCATTTTTAAGCAAGAGGCATGGAGTACATGAACACACATCAAAAAACATTGTTGCACAGTAAAAGAAGAGCCAAAGAAAATGGTTATCACGTATAAGCCTTTCCTCCAATGACAAGAAAGTGATACTGAGGTTCTAAAGCATTTAATCTATTTTTTACAAGTTCTTGCTAAGAAGAGTCAGATATTCATAGGAGGCTAACACAGTGCTAATGCCAAAACAGCATTTTGTCATCTGTATTAATGCAAATTAGTTTTTTCTGAAAATTAAATAACACTATAAAATGTAAAAAAAAAGTCACTAACTCTGACCGATTTAAGGAATACCATAGGTAGGTTTTCATTTGGAAGTGTTAAGTACGTATATTTGGAGGCTACTTAGATATTAGGAATATTTAGGTGTTCCCTAACTTCTGAATGGGAAAACTGGGTTTCCAAGATCTTTTCTTTTGGAGTTATACTCTTGAAAATCTGACTGGTAATGTTTCAGCCCAGTAAGTACCTGTTTTGGCTGGAAATACCAGAAGTTTGCTTTTAAATTACGTGCTTCATTCTTCAGATTTGTCTGCAATAAAACCAGAAACCAGCAGTTGTTTATGCTTAATTTAGTGTGGTAATGCATATATTATGCCATTTGGGGAATCAAGAATTTGTACAGAATATACTGTATGTAAGTAACAAGTAACAGAAGTATAATGCCTTATTTTAAGCAAACATAATTGTCTGCTCTCACAGGAAGAATTATTGCTAGCATGAAGTCAGCTGCATATTTAAGGATGATTCTTCCCAGTGTAACTTAATGCACTGGCATAGGTACCTGGTTATACTACAAACTTCTTCAGACAGCTGTCAAATCATTTTGGTTACCAAACAAATAGGATTTTATCTATTTATAAGATACAAATTATGCTACAACTGGGGTGGTTGAATGAAAGAGTAGTAATGATACATTCACTTCTACATTCTGCTCTTTTCCATGCAGCTCTGGGAGGGGATGGTGGTTTGTTCTGTAATACAGGCAGTGAAGGGGGCATAGAATGCCATTTACAAAAGGCAGTGATATTTTTGACCACTGAATGTAGATTTCACTGTGGTAGGTCCGTGTGAGAATGCCATAGTATAGTATAAAATCAGTAAAAGGTTGTTGCCTACTTTCCCCCACCCAGCCATTATTTGAAGCATATTTCGTATGCTCTTCTCAAGACTCTGAAATAAATTTTCATTTTTTGTTGTTTTAGTTCATGTCATGACAGTTATGTCAGTTGCTTTAGCTGGTTCCCATAATTTGAATCAAAGGATCAAAGTACTTGCATCCTCTGGGACAAGTATAAATAAAAAGAATTGAAATATTCTTAGAAAATATTCTTGTCATACTGGGAATCATTTGCTAATTTAGCTTTTCCAAGAGATGAAACTAAGTGAGAAAGAGCTGGTGCCAGCTCAGCCTTTGGAGTAACTGAAATTTTGCTAATGATCTACATAAATTATTCTTAGCAAAACAAAATTACTTCTGGAATATTACAGGTATTGTATGTGTGACATATTACACATAGTCCAGCTCTTTCAGGAGATCACGGTATTAAGGATACAATTCCTCAGTATGTTTTAGAAAGCTCAGCATCTTTAATGTGATCTGTGTAAAATTCATATGCCTTGCAGCTGGGTGAGGTGGATATGCCTTAGCTGGGTTGACATCAAGCTGTGATCACTGCAGGGAAAGAAAAAAAACCTTGCAACTAGTAAGGAAGAATGGCATTTTCATTAAGTTTCATTTTAACCCAGTTTTTTCTTGGAATTAATTTTAACTCAAAGTTTCTGGTTTAGGTGATAGAAATCTCAGCTTTTTCCACACCAGTAGTTCCTACTTTTTGTTCTGTTAAATGTTAAATTCTGTAACACCAATTAAATTTACTGTAAATGAAGTCTGAGTAAATGTTTTAATCTTTCTGTGAACTTTGAATGGTATACTGTAGTTTCTCTTTTTTTTTTTTTTTTTTTTTTAAATTAGATGGTGAGCAGAAGACTCAAGTGATGATTCATGGAATTGAGCCAATGCTGGAAACACCCATTCAGTGGCTAAGCGAACATATGAGCTATCCAGATAATTTTCTCCACATTAGTATCATTCCCCGACCTACTGATTGAAACTCAACTATATTCATATGAGGATCCTTCTCAAGCTGGAATTATAAGGGCACGTCAACTTCTTGCTTCTGTCAGTCTTGACAGAGGCAGCCTGACCAGAAAAAAAGAAACCAACAAAAAGCCGAAACAAAACAAGAAGCCCTCACTGCTGTAAGCCAAACAGGAAGAGAGATCCTATCATCAGATAAGGGCAATTGGGCTGATCTTATTTTGCATCACTGCTGCGTTTGTTCACCGCTATAATTAAATCAGTTGCGATATGAAAGAATTTACAGGACTTCTGCAAGTCTGCTGTTTTCTTGTAAAATATAGTGAAGCTGAAAACTGTCAGCCGAAGAGCAAATGGAAATATGTCACTTGATTGTATTTCTGATTAACAAATAAACAGGGCTGTTTCCTAAAGTGGTAGTGTTTCAGCTTTGAGGGTGGAAACACTGGTTTAATTTTCTAGAAAGTTAGACACTGAGAGATTCGGTTACCAGTAGCTTTTTGTAAAAGATCAAATTACTGTAAATCCATCTTTCCTTAATGAGAAGTTCATGTTTACAGTATGTGTATTGGTATGCAAATGATCTTTTAACTTTGATAACAAGCAGTGAGAGATTTTAAAGTAAGCCCATGAGCATGTTTTGTCAGTTAAAAACATGCACAACTTAATAATTTACAAATACTTTTGATTTGTATGCTGTCACTGAATACTCCAGTGTGTTTATTATTCAAACCAGTTTTCATAAACTAGCTATGATGTAGGATAATTTGTCTCAGGATTCGTCGTGGCATTTCTTTGTGCTCATATATTTTTTTTTTCTCAGAGAATATTTTCTTAATTTACTTTAAAAAGTTTTGGGGTTTTTTTTTTTTTGGTTGGTTTTTTTGTTTGTTTTTTTTTTTAAGAAAACTTAATGGATGTTGCAAACAGGATTGTATCCTGCTGTTTATTCCCATAGACTAGGAAACAGTTAAATCATAGAATGATGAACAGATTGCTTTTTAATGATTTTGAATTTTGGAAAGCTAAGGCTTTTCCAAGATAATACTTCCTCACATCTGTGGTCCCTGAGCAATCAGTCCGAAATGTGGAAGCTTCTAATCTCATTGCACAGATTTTTCCTTAGTTTAGCAGATGTATTTTTAGGTTATTGGATCATTTTGGTTTCTAAATGTTTGTTACCATTGCAGATGCTACTAGACCTCTACCAATTTTTTTGTTACACTGAATTCATCAAACTGTGCTCTATTGCTTTGTCTGCAGTTTCTGGCTGTTTGTGGCACAAAACAATGTTTATAGTAGACATATTATTAAATATGTCAAATATTATCAAATATAAAGAAAAGCATGACATTTTTCTTTCAAAAATAGTGGCTGTTGAAGTTCCTACTCACAGTCTTGGCTTGTAAATGTCCTGGTAACTGCCAATGCTGTTCCCATTCGTTTCCATGCTCCCTTTATGGTAGGATACTTACCTGTATCTGAAGAAGAAGAAAACGAAAAATCAATCAAATGAACAAAAACCTCTTTATGAAGCAAGAGGGGAAGGATCTCCATGGGTGAGAATAGAGTTGAAGATAAGAAGAGCCCTAAGGGCAGAAAAAGTCAGTAGACAGGTTAGATAGTGTTTTAAATGTAAACAAGGAAATAGCATAGAGGGATTGGAAGGGAAAAGGTACTAATGAAACAAACCCATGCTCTATTCTGCAGGACATGAAGAATTTTTAAAACAGAACAAACCATGGTGATCTCTGTTTATGGAGAATTGAAATGTAATATTCTTATAGAGGGATGATTTGGTTGAGTTATTCTAATTTTCAGTTCTGTTTGAAATTTTTGTTTCATTGTCGGATTGGCATTTATAAACTCTCTTAGGCAGGCATGTCTAAATATTTTGGGCAATTTCAAAGTCCTGCCAATGGATAAGGCAAATATTTTGTAGAGTCTTCATATTTAACAAAAGTGTCTTTTGTAGGGATTATTTTTCCTTTAATCAGGAGAAGAGGCAATACATTCAAAAAAACTGTAGAGATTGTGTTTCCTTTGTTTTAAGATAAACTGGAGGGAGTCACTGGCTATTTTAATATGTTCTACACCAGCATTTTAAGTATACAGCTCTTCTCATGGTCTGTATTTGCCGGTAAATCCAACTTTAAGGCCTAGCATGGAACAAAAAACATATTGGCTTTAAAACATATTCTTTCCTCTTACTTTAACTATTTAAACTTTATTAAAAAATAAAACAAAGTTTGAGTCTGTCTTTATTTCCAACTAAATAAAGATCTTTGTCATGGAGTGACAAAAATATTTAAATAATACTTAATAAGTAGGAACTTCTTAAAGAGCTGGTTGGGTGAGGTATCTAAACAAAAGCACATCATCATGAAAATGAAGTGGCATCTTTGCTTTACCTGAATTAAATCACATTTTTGTATTTTCTTTTACTTAATGTGCCAATAACAATAGAAGGTGTGTTGTGGCATAATTAAATACTTCCCTTTGAAATGCTGTGCCTTCTGGAAAAAGATCTGGTCTGAATTGGTCAGAATCTAAAATAGTGCTCACTAAATTAATTCTGGTAATAAGGAAAAGTTCCAAATACATCCGTGCACACTCCTCAATATTTAGAATTTAAGTGTAACCGGTAAGCAAGTTAAATCATACTGTAAAATGCACCAAAATACAGAGCTTGCTGTGGTCTTCACTGTATTTCATGTTTGGCAATGACTACTTTTGATTTTTGAATGTTCAGTGAAGAAAGAGTGAATTTTCTAATTATTTTTTGATACCACTGGCTGTCAGTCAGCATACATGGTGATGCCTTTTCCTTAAGTACTTACTTTAGTTTTAAATCAATTTCCATTAACTCTTGGATGGGACAGAGGGAGAAGAGCGGAATGAAGTGAAGGAGCATCCTAAATAAAACACAGTTGTACTGGTAAAAAGTCAGATAACATTGCCACTATTAGGAAGAACATGAACTTGACATCTGATGGCCTGGTAACCCTGAAAAATGGAGAATAGGAAAAATGTTGAAGTGGATTTAAGGAGGAGCTTAGAAAGATTTCTGCAGGGAAGTGAGTAGAGCCTGTACAGTGGAGCATTATTCTGCTAAAAGACTTGTCATCCTGGGTTCCCATTAGGTACAGAAAATTCAGAAAAGGTGTGGGAGAGGGGTTGTTTGTCTGCAGGGACAGTAGTTCTCATGTGGAATTTTGAGGGAGAGGGCTCTGAACATCCAGGGAAAAAAGAGATTCGGGCTCGTGTAGGGACTGTGCTGCTTTAGTGGCAGAAATGCTGGATATGTGTATTGCTATGAACAGGAAATCTTGCAGGAATGTGAAGAAATATTAAATCTCAGATCAAGCACAGGAACATGCAGTATGAATTACTGTTAATAAACTGTTGAGCTATTTCAAACCTGGTTACTTCTCCACGAAGAGTTTTGGGAGATGTGGAGCACGTCAAGACAATAAGTTATAAAAAGGGCAAGAGCTGTTTGCCTAAAATTGCAGTCCTTGGAATCAGTGGCTGGGAAAGTAATTTCAGTTCTGTATTCCTTTATGTTTTGCTCTGACAGCCACATACCTATCAGCTGATGAAGACTTGATCATCACTTCCAGTATTATCTATTAAATATCCTGCATAATAATTATGACTTTTTTTTTAATTACCTTATATGGTGAATGAAGTCTGAGTGACAGCTCTGTGTTTGTGGTACTGACAATAGCTGCAGTTTTTTCAGTTTTGGTATTTAGAAGAGTCTGCATCCTGGCTGTACAAGTGTACTGGCACACTCTTAGAAGGTTACTAGGGCTGAAAAAATGACTACTGACTTGAGAGAATGCTTTAAGCAACTTTCATAGCTTACCACTGATAATTTATCAAACTGAGGGACTGGACAAGAAGAGGATAGGTTAATCTCTTTCACAGACACTTTCCAAAATTAACATTTTTACGTGTAATGATTTTCAACTCTCTGAAGAACCTAGATGTTAGTTTGCTTGCAAGTTAAGCAGTAGTTCACAGAATTTATTCATATGCTACCATATGCAGATGTTAAAACTGACTATGTAGTTTATTAGTCTAATATTAATGATTATCAAATTGTGTCAGGAAGAGAACCATGTTAGTAATCATGAGGGCTCCTGTGGGTGGCATGGTTGTGGTGCTGCAAGTTGATGAAAGGTGAAGATTGAGTGCATCTCTGGCAAGTACTATCACTTTTTCCAACTTCAGCCTTCCAGCAAAACCAAATGTCTTTACTGATAAAATAATGTTGTTTTCTTGACATAGTGAAAGTGTATTTCAGCAGGAAAAGTACTTTCCATTCAACATTTGTGGCTGTATCAGAATAATAAGGTTTTTTGAAAGTGATTTCAGCCATTGGTTTTAGCAGTTGCTGTTTATTTGGACAGGAAAGAGGTTCCTGAAGTGATTTTTTTTTTCTTTCCTTAGAATGAGAAAGTTATGCACAGAGGTTCCTAGAATGTCACCACATATAGAATGGGTTCTGAATTAAAGCAGGTAGGTATCTATTCTGTATTAAAACTTCTGGTTTTGAGACAAGGCTTGGTGACATTTCAAAATGTCACACTAAACCTGAGTAATATCTCTTGAGATGTTAAGTTTCAAATGCTCAGAAACTAGATTTCAGATTTCTTTACTTCAAGTTACACTATCAAATTAGCTGGAGGAAGATGAGTTTAAAGTGAGAGACATGTTTTCTTCCCTTCCCTTGCCTTTCATGTCTCTACGATTCAAATAATTAAGTTTTTTTAACTGTGAAATGAAACACCAGTTTTTCTAAACAATAGATTGAAGAACGCAAAGGAATACAAAACAGCTATGCAAACAGCTACATGAAGAAGAGTTTGGTGTATGTCAGGTTTTTATATATATAAAATAACTAGTATTATATGGAGTTTAAAGGTTTGGGTTTCATAGTGTTTATATGTATAAAAACCACTTAAGGTAGAAAGAGAGGCAGTCAAACACCGTGTTAGGATTGGAGGATCTCGACTGCACTTGAAACTGCCAAAATCTGTCTGATTTTAAAATAGCACTTTCCACAGAAGATGTTTAAAGCCTTAATACTTGCATCATTTCACTAATCTAGGTCAACAGATACAATAAAATGAATATGTTGTGGAAACAAATCTGTGGTCTAGTTACTAATACACATTACATTCTCAGCAGTCGCAGTAACTGTGAGTATAACATGGTGAAAAGGATAAAGCCAGTGTGTGTTTTGCAAGTTCACATGCACATCTAGAAGTTAGGTTCCCTTTCAAAGAAAATTGGGCTTTAGTGGGGCGGGGGCCCCTGGAAATCAAAAGCGTTGTTCATTAAACCTGTCCCTTCAGTGACTGCCTTACAGTGAAAGGCATGTGGAAAGAGTCACGAGTGAAAG